TCAGATTGATTTTAAGATACTGCTTGTGACAATGGTTTGCTCAGTGAATTAAATGACAAATTTTGCCTGGAGTAGCTTTTCCAAATTTGGGAGTTAGCTTAAACAAACAGGACCTCAGGGGTGGAAAAACTGCTTGTCTGACTAGACCCGTTTACAGAAGTAGTTTGGAAAGTTGCATAGCATGTATAATGATTGCCTTTTTATTACTATTTATAAGTGCAGTATAAATGAGGTGTGATACTTCCCCCAGTGCTGGAATCTGGAGTGCTGGGGAGGCTGTCTGCCCCTTGCCTTGGCCTATTCTGTATGTGTGTTTGCTAGCACAAATGTGGCCTTGTGCACAGCCTGAGATGCGTTGCCATCAGCTCCTCAGGAGTGCTGTGCTCACTGACCAAAGCCTGTGATGGGAGTTGTGTTTTGTCAATCATCTTATGTTCTACTTAGGGGTTATATCATCTGCGTATTGCTGGCTTTACATTTTCTCTATCTGCCTGTTCTGTATCAACTGCCATTTAAAAATGCTGATGTGCCTTATTGTCATTGCAGAAGACTGTTAAAAGAAGAATTTTCCATTCGTTATGGTAAAATCTTTGAGATTTCTTTACCATCATTAAAAGGTATTTATGTTCTTTTCTGCTGTCAGGTGTATGCTTGATACCTTAACAGATGCTGCTTTAAATTTTAAGAGGAAAAGCCACACATCTGAGCAGCGACCTACTCCCTGTCTCTCTTCACACCTGCATCAGTCACTGTTGTAGACATGGTGTACACAGCTGCATGCAAATCTGAATTTCCTAAACTGGTATGAACTTTCCCTGCACTGATTGGTACACATAAGCACACATGGACATTTTCTGTCAACACAGAAAAAGGTATTAACAATACATGGATGGCTTTCACCTTCTATCTTGGGTGCTCTGTGCAAGTGCTTGTGGTTTTCTCGTGAAGAGATGTGGCTGTAATAAGAAATGCTGACAGCTGTGTGCTGCGTCAGGGTGAGCAGCACCCTCCTGTGGGCCAGGTTTGAATTCCCGAGATGCAAGAGATATCAGACGTGTGTATTGCAGCACATGGCATCACCTATTCAGCTGTAAAAAAAAAAAAAAAAAAAAAAAAAAAAAAAAAAAAAAAAAAAAGCTGCAGTGTGTTTCAGTGTTAATTCACTTCACTGGTTATGTGGCTTGGTCAGGTCATGGCCAGGAAGAGTCAGAGCAAAAATAGACCAATGCTGAGTGCAGTTCTGGGCAGTTACTATGAACTTTATATAGCTATACGTGCCCTTGTGTAATACAAAAGGTTTTCTTGATCCAGATTTTACCTGAGGGCACCTTTTACCTCAGGAGACCTCAGCGCTTTCTGTGATATTCTGTGTGTGTGTGTTGGTGCCAGCAGTGGTAGGTGCATTCAGCTTCAGGTGCTGCCAGCAGGAGCTTTCTGTTCTCCTGTAAAGTGCAAGGCTTTTAGTAGGGTAACCGATGCCTGCTGACACTGAGCCAAGGTGATGGGCTTCAATCAGCAGCACCCTTTGCTGCTATGTAAGGCTGTACCTTACCTGCAGACAGCTCTAGTTGTCTCTGTACATATCCTAGGTGAGCCCCCCTGCTCCAACATCTATTAAAAATCAGAGAATGTTCTGAATTGGAAAGGCCCCACAAGGAACATCGAGTCCAGCTCCTGGTTCCACAAAGGACCACCCAAAATTCAAACCTTGTTTCTGAACAGTTTGGGGCTGTGCCTGCTGCCGTCTGAGGCAGAACTTTCCCTCACCTCCACCTGCCCTCCCCTGACACAGCTCCAGGGAGAGCTCAGCGCTGCCCTCCGCTCCCTGTGAGGAGCTGCAGCTGCCCTGAGCTGCCCCTCAGCCTGCTCTGCTCTGGGCCGAGCAAACCCGGGGAGCTCAGCTGCCCCTTGTAAATCCTGCCCTTCAGAACAGTCCCCATCTTTGTAGCCCTCCATTGGATGCTCCTTAGCTGTGAACCAGCCAGCAGGGCAAGCGGCATCCCACGAGCATGGCCCCAGAAGTGCTGGGGGCTTGCAGGTGGAAGCAGCAGGCCAGGCCTGGAGTGATGCCGAGCAGCCTGGGCTGAGTGCCAATTCAGTATGAAATAGCCACGTCTCCCTGGCTTATTTCATAATACTCATCTGTAATCAATTTAATCAGTTTACTGAGCCATTACAGAATTTTCAATTATTGGCTGGATAATTCAGAAAAGAGTCATCAGCACTAGATACTTGTCACACAGGAAAAACAGCAACAAACTGTTGCGAAGCTAGCAAGGAATTGTTTTCATTCTTCTTATACAAACGGGGGATGCTCTCCAAATCCCCAAGCTTTTGTACTGTGAGGTGCTGGAGTTTTTCCATGTTTTACAAGCAGACAAAGGATAAGACCAGTCTATGGTGTCCCCAGTAGTGGGGCAGCTGGTGCGCAGTGTTTGTATCTGCAGCCAAAGATGCCCTTCCACATCCAGTTAGATTTGCTCTCCCTACACAGAATCCCTTTCCAAAGGACTTTCTATCTCGCATCTTCCAAAGTATACTTAAAACATTTGCATGTTTGTCTTTGTGGCTCATTGGTGGAAGGGAGCAGTAGTCCAAATGGATGCTTTTTACATTTATTTGTGGGGCCCTTTGTCCCTCTCAAACTTAAAAAATGGAGTAACTGTATTAACACGTGCAGTCTAAGGGTGAGTGACACTTCTGGCCCTCCAATGTTTATGTTTGAATAGAACCCTTGTTTTTGCCTTGCATGCTCTGATATGACCCCTGCACATTATCATAAACTGAAAAATCACAGGAGGCTGCAAAAAGCTATTTTATTTTCTGGGATGACCTAATGTACTGCTTCCAGATGCTCTGGTGTAATCTCTTCAAAACTGTGAAGTTGAAGGAACCATAGGACAGATTCTGATAATTATTGTCCTCGACTGCTGTTTAATATTTTGCCATGTCTCAGCAATGGGACCAGTTCTGAGCTTGTCTCTCTTTTGTTTTTTTCCCTTTAAATAAATAAATAATGAAGCTTTGCGAATGTCTGCATCTCAAAAATTCATTTCCAAGGGGAACTGAACCGCAGCCTTCTGAAAAGACAGCAAGGTCCCAAATGTAAAAGGAAAGAAAAGCACTTCATTTAGATTCCTGGCACCATTACTTGGCTCACTTGCTGTGTTTTATTAAAGTGGCTCGTGATCTCAGGACATGCAGAGCTGTGGGATACACCCATGACTAAGGCAGGCTGGTCATTTTATGGAGCCAAAGCACTTGGGATGCTACCTGAAAAGCTTCCAGGAGCCAAATAGTCATAAACATATTCACAGAGCTAAAAACAAATAAAAATCCTTGCATATGCAGTTAGCTCTGTTTCACAGAAAACAACTGTATTGCCTGAGATGTTGCTAGTCCTGTTAAAAGCAAACAATGCATTGACACGGCAGCAGAGAAGTGAACTCAGTGCACTTATCCACTGCAAGGTGCCTGTGTAACAAACACATACCCACCCAATTTTGTGATATTTTTCTGTTTTTTTCTGTTTTTTTTTTGTCTGGAATTACAGGATCGGTTGTGTTATAAAGATCATCTAGTCCAACTCCCTTGCAATGAACAGGGATATCTGCTGCTCAGTCAGGTTGCTCAGACCCCTTCAGCCTGGCCTTGGATGTCTCCGATGCTAGGGCATCCACATCTCTGGGCAAGCTGTGCCGTGCCTCACCTCTCCTATTGTAAAGCACTTCTTATTTCCAGTCTAAATCTCCTACATTTTAGTTTAAAGACATTTCACTTTGTTCTATCACAACAGGCCCTGCTAAAGAGTCTGTCTTCTTTCTTACAGCCCCCCTTTAGAGTCTGGTCTCTCTCTTCTCCAGGCTGAACAGCTCCATCTCTCAGCCTGTTCTCACAGGGGATGTGCTCCATCCCTGGGATCAATTTTGTGGCCCTTCTCTGCACATGCTCAAACAGGTCCACATCTCTCCTGTACTGAGGACTCCACATCTGGACGTGGTGCTCCAGGTGAGGCCTCATCAGCAAGGAGTAGAGGGGCTGGATCACCTCCCTTGCTTTGCTGGCCATGGTTTTTTTTTGGATGCAGCCTAGGATATGGTTGGCTTTCTGGGCTGTAAGGGCACATTGCTGGCTCACATCCAGCTTACCATCCACCAACCAACTGTAAGAATGAAACAGCCCTCTGCTGCAGCTCCACTGCACCTGGAGCTTGGGTTTCCACTGTTCTGGTTCTAGCTGTTTGCAATGTATTGCAATGTATTGAACAGATTGTTGTTACGTTGCTCGAATACCGTGCTACAACTGAAAAGATTTTTTCTTCTCTTAAAAAACAGAGGAAGCTGTATTACTGAGAGGCAAAGTCTTGCCTACATTTATGCTGTTCAAGCTAATTGTCACCATCTGTCCAACCCAACCTTTCCCACAGTGGAGTCTATCAGGTGCGTTTATGGTGGCAATAAAGATCAACCTGTGAATATGCATTTGAAAACAAACTATTTCAGATGTTTAGCTGTAGTGACCTCGCATTTGGAAGACTTCATGTCCTCTGCCAGCTGAAGGTCACCTGAACTGTTGTGGATTTATTTTTTAAGCTTATCTGTTACACATTTTCTAGAGTAAATGTGAAATGTTTCCAGTTTCTGCCCTTACCTCACCTCATGCAGAACAAGCAATTTTGGAGTTTTACTCAGCGTTCAGTGTAACCAAGTATGCTCTTATATCTTTTCCGTCAGGATGAAGAGTATAAAGAGGCCTCTCGTCAGTGCCAACAGGCAGAAGGATTGAGCAGAAGCTGCTCTTGCATGAAGGCCCTCCATTCCAGAGAGGCCACTGCAGAGAACTGAACCCCATGGGGAAGCCTGCTGGGACAAGGAGCTTGGGAATGTAATTGCATGGAAAGTATGGAATATTTTAAAGTCTATTATACAGAAGCAATTGGGAATTTGCATACAAGAAAGGGAAAGACACAGAGCACAGAGAAGGCTTCAGGCAACTAAAAAATCACAAAGGATGGTAGGGGAAGAACAGAGACTGAAGGAATGGAAAAAAACTTCCCAAAGGCACAATCTTCAACATGAATTGAAAGAGTATGGGTAAGTCAAGTCTTACAAACCTGTGGCAAGAGGTGAAGAAAATCATAACACATAAGCGTTGCAGTGCCTAAGTGGAACATGAAGAAGAGGTGACGTGCAGTGAGGGCAGTGTTGAGGTTAAGTGCAGCCTAGATGCTGTCCTAAGTGGAGAACATGCTTTGTCCCATCTTCGTGGTGGGTAGTAATGCTGAAAAGACTGTCAAGATCAGAACTCCTTGACCTGAATAAGATGAAAAGTCAAAGGATGGATTGTGCTTAGATGTGTTTTATCCCAGCAAATAAGCCAGCCTTCGAGATGAACCTGGCCAGTTCTTCAATGACTGAATCACCAGTTCTCCAGTGACTGCACTTCAAGATGAAGGAATTGTACAAAAGATGGAGATATGGGTCATTTACTAAGCAAGAAGATGAAAAATAGAGACAAACTCAGGCCAAGATACAAAAAGAGCTATAACTAGAAAGGATTATAAAGCAGATGAAGGGATCATCTTTAAAGCATTAGAGGAATGAAAAGGCTAAGGAAAGGAGTAGTCAACAACTGTAAGAAGAGGGAGGGAGAGGGGAACTATCAACAGGTATATCTGAAAGTACGTGAGCGGTGGAGGAATGGCAGAGAAAGAAGGATTAGCATAAATAGATAGATACATTGAGCAGCTGTCTCCCCTACCATGTCTTCTGCAGGCAGAGAGTGCTGGTGTTCTTCATTTATTTACCTCACATTACTGAAATACAGCTTTCTGTAGGGTTAGGTAGGTGCGTGATGGTAGAAAAGCTACCAGAAAAGAAAAAATGTTTGTTTCACTGAAGGGTTTTTTTCTTTATCATAATCATGTCAAGAATAGATGTCAAGAATAGATCTGAGCAGAGAAGCCCAGTAGCACTTGGGCCCCAGGGAGGGGCAGTGCCATAGCACACGAAGGAAGATTTCTGTGCACTGCTCCCCTTGTTTAGCCAACACATCCCTGGATACCAGCAATACTGTTATCTGGCAGAAACACTTCTCCAAACTCCTTCAATCATTCTTAATGACCAGAACGAGTTTTCATTAAAAATAGTCATCCAGAATGATGTTTGTTTTCAAAATATAGCCCTGTTTGGCTGGCTGCACTGTCTTCATCAGCTGAGGTGAGATAAAAGGGCCAATGTCTTGGCAGAAAAAGTCAGTTTTCTCAAGAGAAGCAACGCGTGATTCAGAAGGAGGGCAAAGGAAAGAGGTTTGCAATTGTTTGGCTTGTGCTTTCTCTGTTCAGTGTGTGCTGTGAGGTGAGAAGATGGGTCTAGCAGCAGGTAAGCAGCTCCACATGGTTTCTGAGGGACCTTAGGAGATCTCCCTGTGTCCCGTGGCTCCTGCAGCCAGAGGTAAGAGAATTGGGTTGGGAAGTGAACCTGTTGGGCAGGAGAATGGGATTTCTCATTATCCCAGTTCTGTTTCCAAACTGCAGCCAGGATGGTGCTCAGGACTACTTTTGTCTGTGTGTCTGTGTTCAATTCTGATGAAAAGGTATGCTTTATTGCAACTGCATTTTGATTGAGAAACTTGGAATAGCTTTGGGTACTATATACTTAATCAGACTGAGAAAGCTGCATACTTTCATTTTGCAGATATCAGTCCCTGTGATGGGCTTGTTTGATGCAAGCCAGCAATGTAATTTCGAATGTCAAAATGTTAAAGGAAAAATTATTTTGCAAATAACTTTCCCTACCCGTGTGTTGCATTCCTAAAACATCACTTGGTATATTTCAAGATTTTCAAACTAGATTTTAAATGGAAGTATCATCAAGAAGGGCAAGATTGTCTGACCTTTATCCCTCTGCTGTCCCACTAGTAAAGAGCACAACAGCCTCTGTAGCTCTCTCTGATGGGGACATCTGTGTCAGTATGCAAACCATAGCCTCAGGTTTGTGCTTGCTTGAGTCCCTAACTGATAACAAATGGCACCACAAGAAGGTGTTGTCTGTTTGGTTTGGCTGAGGTTATTTTCTTTTGTTTGTTAATTTGCTCAATCTGCATAAGCCCCGGAGCCAAGCAAAGCACATTATGCACATGAATGCAACATTTCCTGTCTGTGACTCTTCATACCTGCTCTCCTGCTTAGCCTTCCTGCTGCAATGGAGGACAAGTCAAGCCAGACATCAGGACAGAGCAAAGATGTGCAGAGCTCCCTAACACCAGAAGAGCCTCCTGTCAACTTTACGCACATCAAGTTGGAGGAGAATGAGCCCATAGACTTCAGGACTAAGGATTTTATCCTGAAAAAAGCCAGAGAGGTCTGCAAATGCAATCATCAAACCATCATCACCTTCTTCTGCCAGCTGTTCCCAGTGCTAGACTGGCTTCCCCATTACAACATCAAGATGCAGTTGCTTGGGGATGTCATATCTGGGCTCCTGGTGGGGATAGTCGCCATCCCTCAGTCCATCTCCTATTCCCTGTTAGCCAACCAGGATCCCATCTATGGAATCTACACAAACTTCTTCTGCAGTATCATCTATGTCGCTATGGCCACTTCACGCCACAACTTTGTGGGATCCTTTGGAGTCCTCTGCCTGATGATTGGGCAGTCTGTGAATCGGCACCTCCAGCTAGCAGGGTACGATGACAACACTGACTCTCTGCTGGTGAGCAATGCCACCTCCTCCAGCGATGAGATGGGTACCTGTGACAGGAGCTGCTACGCCATCACTGTGGCCCTTTCCTTGAGCTTTCTGGTCGGTCTTTACCAGGTACAAATGTCCACTGTTGTGCAGTTTCCTTGCTAGGAACTTCTTAATGCTTAACAACTCTAAGCTCCAGTCCCACTTCAGACTTAAAAACCATGAGATACCTTTCCTAAATGCAACTAGAGCCTGACACCTTTAGCCAGCTGCAGTGATTTGAAAAGCCTGAACACAGCTGAATTTAAGGTTTTGCTTCCCCCATGTGCTGGGTCCTTGAATATATCTGAAACATGCTTAGAATCAAACACAGTAGGGGAAATAAAGGAAACTGTGAGCCACCTTCCCATCACTTTGGTTCTGGACCTGAGCTGACTGCTCTGTAGGTCAGAAGCAGTCAGGGCAAAAAGGAAGAGCCCTCACAGACTGCCATCGGCAGGGGCTCCATTAATGGCTATGCATGGCTTGGGCCTGGCTGTTAGACAACTTCAGATCCTCTCACTGGAACAACTAAAATCACACTATTCTCATGCCATTGAGATGCTAATTACTGCTTTGATCTGTCTGCTCTCTGGACTTCCAGTGTTAACTATGCACCCTTATTGCTTGAAAAAACACAGCAATGGGGATCTTGTAGGCTTTCTTGTATGGCATCTCTCACCACAGACAAGTCTGGGTAGCAGTCTTTAGTATTCAATACACCACATTATCTACCTAAGACAAAAATCTGGGTCTCATACTGAATGCTCACAGACAGAATAGCTAGACATGCTGAAGTAGAAGCAAATTGCCATAAATTTCCAGCCACCTCTTCTAGCCCTTCTCATGGATGCTAATGATACGGCTGTCTTGCTTTTCAGATCCTGCTGGGGGTTTTACAGCTGGGCTTTGTGTCTGTCTACCTGTCAGAACCTCTCCTCAGCGGCTTTGTGGCCGGCTCCAGCCTCACCATCATCACCTCCCAGATGAAGTACCTCCTCGGGCTGAATATTCCCCGTCACGAAGGGGTGGGGTCCTTCATCCTGACATGGGTAGATCTTTTCAGGTACATCCAAAACACCAATATCTGCGACCTGGTCACCAGCCTGGTTGCTTTGGCCATCATAATACCTGTCAAAATGATCAATGATCGGTACAAGGACAAGATGAAGGCCCCATTCCCTGTAGAGCTGCTCGTGGTCATCATAGCCACAGTAGTATCTTACTGCTTTAACTTTGAAGAGCGATACAAGTCTTCTGTTTGTGGGGCCATCCCCACCGGCTTCAGAAAACCCACCCTACCAGATACAAAGCTGTTTTCCAGCCTGGCAGTCGATGCTCTGCCCATTGCTATTATAGGCTTTGCTATGACGGTCTCCCTGGCGGAAATCTTTGGCAAAAAGCATGGCTATGCTGTCCGTGCCAACCAAGAGATGATCGCCATTGGCATGTGCAACCTGGTCCCATCTTTCTTCTACTGCTTTGCTAGCTCTGCAGCCTTGACCAAGACTTTGCTGAAGGAGTCCACAGGGACCCAAACGCAGCTCTCTAGCCTGGTCACCTCCCTGGTGCTGCTGCTGGTGTTGCTGTGGATCGCTCCGCTCTTCTACTCTCTGCAAACTGCCATCCTGGGGGTGGTCACCATTGTCAACCTGCGGGGTGGCCTGAGGACATTTTGTGAAACCCCACGCATGTGGCAGCTCAGCAAGCTGGACACGGTGGTGTGGTGGATAACCATGCTGGCCTCCACGCTGATCACCACAGAGATAGGGCTCCTTGTGGGCGTCTGCTTTGCTCTGCTCTGCGTCATCTTCCGCACGCAGAGACCCAGGGCCGCGCTCCTGGGCAAGGTCAGCAACACAGAAATCTACGAAGACCAGTCTGCTTACAAGCAGCTCAGCAGTATTGCCAACATCAAAATCTTCCGCTTTGAGTCGTCCCTTTACTATGCCAACAAAGACTATTTCAAGACTGCGCTCTACCAGAAAACTGGGGTCAATCCTGTCCTGCTGGCTGCCAGGCATCACAGGGCAAAGACCCGGGCAAGAGCAGAAACAGGCAACAGGAAGAGCATTTTTAACACTCTGTTTGGTTGCCTGAAACCTTCCAAGAAACACGTGGAGAGGTCACCCACAAGCGTCTGCCTGCCATCCCTAGATATGCACACCCTAATCATTGACTGTGGGGCTATGCAGTTCATAGATACCATGGGTCTCTCCGTGCTGAAAGAGACGCACAGTGACTACCAGGAGCTCGGTGTCCAGGTGCTCCTGGCCAACTGCAACCCCCTCCTCCGCCGCCGGCTGCGGGATGGAGGCTGGGCTGCTGGGGCACACGGCGGCCAGCCGGCTTTCCACAGCGTGCACCACGCGGTGCAGTTTGCACAGCAGTGGTACCACGAGCAGCAGCAGGAGAGCAGAGAGAGAAGGGATGCTGCCCCGGATCCTGAGGACCTGAGCGTCCAAGCGTCTCTGTAGAGCTGCACGTGAGGAATGATTTCTGATGAGCTGGGCTTCACCGCAATTTTAGGGTGGTTTTTTTTTGTTTGTTTGTTTGTTGTTTTTTGCCTTTTTTTTTTTTTTCAAGCAGAGCACTGAAAAAGACCTGTTAGCAGCAAGCACGGAATAAACGGACAAGGGAAGCGCGGATTTCAAGGCCAATAATCTGAGAGGCATTTCAAGGTCAGCCGCGTCGGTAAAAAGCCTGGTGGCTTCCCCTCTGCGGAAAGGACTTGCCAGCGACAGGCGGCACACAGCCGTGCGGAGCCACCGCTGCTGCGGTTCCGGACTCTCGTGGGCGCTGGGGGGCGCGAGTGAGCCGCGCCGGCACCGCGGCGGGGAGCGGGGATGGGCCGGCAGCGGTGTGCGGCCGCCGGCTGTGAGCGGCACGGCCTCGGTGCAGGGAAAAGGGAAGCGCAGGAGTGTAGGTTCTTAAAAAGGCGGCTGAATTTGGAGCCGTTCAAATTCCAAGTCCAAACTTCCCGTTGTTCTCAGTGGTACAAAAACAGCCTCCAAATCAATAACGGTGTTCTCCAAACCCAGCGCCAAGGAAACGTCGCTCTACGAGTGTGCTTAGGAGCATTCCCAAATGCAATGGGAGCTCATCGTGGAGAGTTTCCTTCTGTGTGCAGCTCCAGTGCCCAGACAGAATGAAACAGGAAAGTGAGGATGCAAGAATCCCCTCCAGGGGTGCTCTCACAAAAATTGCACTGTAGAGAAATCCACGCCCCATGGCTCTGGTGCTCCCCAACCAAACCAGGACCAAGAACCAGCATGGCCCCGCTGCTTCATACATGGTCCCACGTTCCTTTTTGCCACCTTTATTTGGGACTGTCCTTCCCTCCCCTGTGTCCACTCTGAGTCACTGTGGGGAGTAGATTGCAGAGGAACAGTTATGTTCCAAACAGCCCATGGCAGAGAGCATAACAGTCCCTCAGAGGCCACAAAACAAACACTACAGAGAATAGGACAGGACAGGATAGAATCATTTGAATGGGAAGGAACCGTTAAAGGCCATCTGGTCCAACTCCCTGCAATGAGCAGAGCTGCTTTAGTGCTCAGAGCCCCTTCAGCCTAACCATGGGTGTCTACAGGGTCAGGGTATCTATCTCCTCTCTGGGCAATCTGTGCCAGTGCCTCTTCTCCCTTACTCTATAAAGAATAAAATAATAAAATAAAATATTATAAATAAAAAATATAATATATATATATAATATATATAAATAAAATAAGAATAAAATAATAAAATAAAGAATAAAAAGATTCTTCTTTATATCCAATCTAAATCTCCCCTCTTTTAGTTTGAAACTATTTCCCCTTGTCCTATCACAGCAGACCTTGCTAAGGATTCCGTCCCCTTCCTTTAGTTACTGACAGGTCTCCTCAAAGTCAGCAACAGCAAAACACTTCCCTTAAAAACAAACAAGTTTCAGAAGACTGCAGGGAATTTGTTCAGCTGACAGCCCTTGCTCCATCTGCAAATCCACCGTTTATGCTGCATGTTTAATACAACACTATTCCCCTGATCACGTTTAGGAAACACCACATCTGACAGCTACTTGGAGACTTGTAAATAAAGTGCATGGAAAAGGAAACCTGCTGGCTCTGCTCAAGAAAATATTTTTTTTGTGGTCAAAAAAAAAAAAAAAAGAAAAAGATTCCTTCAGATAGCTTAGGATTGGGGTATGCCCAGCAGCCTGCTGGAGCCGGGGTGGAAGTGCCAGACGAACCCAGACCTTGCAGGACTGACTGCTAAGCGTGGGTCTATCAGGACCTGAGGAAACAGCCGCAAGTTGTACCAGAGGAGATGTAGCTTAGACATGAGGAAAAACTTTCTCTCTCAGAGTGGTCAGGCACTGTAACGGCCTGCCAAGGGTCCTTGCAGGCTGCCAGGGCATGAAGGAACTCCCAGGGAGGTTGCATCAGTCATGGAGAGCGGGCAGTGGGCAGCTCTGTGTGCAGAAGAGTCAGAGAATCTGCAGAGAGAAGACTTGTTACTTCCACTTTGCTTCCTCTTTGGAGTAGCAGAACCATCGTTTTCCTTGAAAGCCCATTTATGAGGGAAATTAAATTGTTTTAGTTAGGCTTTATATGCATTTATGATCTCAGCAGGTTGAATAAAGCCACAGGAGGAAGTAAAATGGGTGCTGATGACTTCTGGGCACCGCCTGCTGCAAGATAGCAGGTGAGGTTCAATGGGAGCAGGGATTCCCACCTCCTGCTGCAATGCAGTGTGCAGGCACAGAGGAGCTGTGAAAGTGCCAAAGCGACACTACTTTCTTATCAGTCCCTATGAAGAGGCCATGAGTTGTAAATGATACCGAGAGATAGGACACAAACTGTACGGTCCAAGGGTAGCCCATAATCAGTGGTGCGGGAAATCAGGCAGTATTTGTGGGCCCTTCACCTTTGGGGCCATACAGGAAGGGCACCCACCGGTAGGACAGCACTGCCCAGACACCTCCTGCCCCTTCCTGCAGCACTGCCAGGCACTGCGGAAATGCCACATGATAAAAGCAAGTGTTATCTCCCCCAGCAAGCAGCTCACCTGTTCTGCTCCTTCTCTCTCTACCCCCTGCCTTGCTGAGATCTATAAATACTCCAAGAGTGTGATAAATAGATGCTCAGGCTTTGTCAGCTGTGGTTGGAGCTGACTGTGCAGCTGTTAATTATGCCGCAGCAGCAGCCGGACAGGTTTGAATCCTTTTGATGCTTTGAAATGCTCCCTCTGGGGAAGTTTAGAGAATAAAGGTTTTATGGCTGAATGGTGTTTGCTTCACCTTCTGGAAAGCATATGGGATTGCTGCTCTTGCCCCTATTGCCTGTTGCTGGATATGCTCTTTTCTAGCCCCAGGAATTACTTCTATGATAAAGCAGGGTGCTCCCAGCACAGGCAAGTCCCACAGTGTAACATTTGCCCATGTAGAACTTCCCAGGCAGGCAAGCCTCGGCTGGGAAGGAAAATCAGTGAGCTGCAGGTGGTGGCATTGAGACTCCTAAAAATAATAATAATAATAATAAAAAACAAAAATTAAAACTTCATTGGAGGCAGCTGGTGCTGGAGGAGTGTCTAAGCAGGAGTTGGTGCTCTCCTAAGCCAGCTGTGGGCTCTATCAGTGGCTCCGATGGCAGAAGAAGGAATAGATCTCTATCCTGTGGCTGAGAAGGGGTTTCTGACGTGGCTCCTCCACAGTTTCAAATCTTTTAAAGCAGGGTTTAAACAGAGGGTGCTGTGCAGCCCTTTCAGCAGGAGAATTCAGAAGCTGACGTGATTGCGTCAGAGCAAAGCCTTCTGAGAAGCCCAGGTAGGAACACAGCAAGGCCATGAGGCGAGGCAGAGCAGTGAGCTCTGGCCATACAGGGGTGCAGGGGACAGGTCTCCTTCAGGTTAGACCTAAATTAGGCTCTGCAGGAAGAGCTCCTTGCCCCGGGCTCCAGCTCAAGCAGCCAACTGCGGTCCCACAGGCAGCTGCACGCAGGTGTGATCACAAATTCTGCATTACCACCACCAGAGAGGGGCTGGGTGCCCCGTCCCTGCAGACACACACAGGTGGGACGGGGCTCTGAGCGCAGATGGAGCTGTGGGTATCGCTGTTGGTTGCAGGAGGTTGGATCAGATGGCCGTTAGCGATCCCTTCCAACTCAAACGATTCTATGATTCTACGACTACGCACCCCACGCCGGCTGTTTTTCTGAGCTCTCTACAACCGTTTGCCTGGACAAATTAGCAGCTGATAGGTTGGGAGATGGCCACCGATGGATCTGTCGGCTCCTCACACTCGGCTGAGGCTACGGAGAAGTAAACGGGACCGGTAGCGCTCCGTTGAACGCCGGCAGAGCGCCGCCGTGCCGCCAGGGGGCGCCACCGGCTCAGCGGGAGCACCCCGAGCAGCGCCTCCCGCCCCGCCTGCCCCGCTCCGTCCCTGCGCGCGCTGCCCGGCAGCCGCGGCGGCTGAGCTTCGTGCTGCTGCGGTGCTGTGGATGGAGCACAGGTACTCACTGCATTCTGCGCTTTGTTTTCCCCGCTTTTCCCCCTAGAATTCCTTATTCAAGCAAGTAACTCGCTTCAAAGAGGACGCCCAGCAGCTGCTGCTGGTCCGACCTGGTTTCGTCTTGCCGGCGCTCTCACCCCAGCGCACCTGCGTCATGGTGTGCTTCACACGTCTGCTGTGCTGCGGAGGATGCAGGGTGAATTTCCCCGAGTGCTCTGCTGCGCTTGGGTAGGCATTGGATGTAATCATCGCTGCCCAAGCGTGCAGCTGCCAGCACAGCTGGCACACAACAAGCAGGGTCCCGTCTGCTCTCCTCTTTTTGCACAGCTCTGGATAAAGAACCATCCTGCTGTTTTTCTTCTTAATGTTAAGGTTTTTGATGGGAAATGAATGGTCAGGAAGATCACTGTTCCACTAAGCAACGAGAGGACCTAGCTAATGGGTTTCCATCCCATGAAGGGTTTGGGGTTCCCTTCCCAGGTGCTGCAGGCAGCCCAGTGCCAGTAGGGTGGCACTGAGAACCTCTCACTGCTGAATGTGGGTACCAGCATTGGGCCAGAGCTGACCCTAGGGGTTCCAAAGGCTGTGCAGCCCCCCATCACCACTCCACCCCTCGTGCAGTGCTGTGAGCTAGACCTGGAAATCTGGGTGGGAATAACCGCAGTGATAGCCTGAGGATTCCAAAGGTGAGGACTCCCAAAGGCCAAAGAGTGGGAAGGAAAAAGTCACTCTCCTGGTGTAATTTTGTTTGCATTTTAATAGTAGAATTGCTAACAAGTGGAGTCGTCTAACTGCTGCCATGGAAACGGCAGCCTTCATCCCTCACACGGTGCAGCCATCTGCAGCAGAGCAATCCTGGGCTGCATGAGCAAACCGAGTTGGGGGCTCATGGCCGACCAGGGCAAGTGGCACGGAGCACAGCAGGAGCTTCATCCCTCTGAGTGATGTGACATACCTGTACATGCAAGTGGGATTGGAGAAGAGCAGCCATGCAGATCCAGCGTGGATCAAATTCGTTTGAATGGGTTTTGGGTTAGCAGTGGCTGCATTGCTTTGGTTCCACACTTAGTGGACGTTGATATGAGCAGGCAGAGGGCGGGGTGTGCAAGAAGTGCTCTGAGGGGAAGCAGCCTCACAGAGCACCAGCACTTCTGGCTGGCTTGGATGTGCTGTGCTGAGCCTCTTGGTTTGCACAAAGTGATTCGCTTATGAAGTGTAGCACCGAGCACCTGGCTATGGCAGGTTGAGCAGATCCCGTTACCTCCTTCAGTGCTTCCATGTGTGCACTGACTTTCATGGAACTCCTATCCCATCTTTTCTTGAGAGCAAAATGACTTGTGTTTATGCTACTTCATCTCCAAAACTATGCAACAAAGAAGGAAAAAATAAATTCAGGAAGGCTCATGGGCATCCTGAGTGCAGAAGAGGTAGAATTAATACTATCCATGATCTGTGATGAGTGATTCACTTGGCTTTTATTCAGTCACGTGTAGTTATCAGTATTTGTGTGGATGCGTGCAGCCCCTGTGCAGATCAGCAGCAACCAGAGAGGGTTCCCAGCTGCTGTTGTCCTGTGGGGTCCGGGGGGAAGAGTGAGATGGGGCGGGCTCTGCCTCTTCTCATGGAATCATGGAACCACGGAACCATGGAATGGTTTGGGTTGAAGAGATCTTAACTATGACCAGATGCCCACATCTGCTCTGACCCAGAGTGCCTGATTTGTCAGCTGTCCTCACACTCCTGACAGATTGCTCAGTAGCTTCCAGCTCATGAGCTGTAAATGGGGAGATGGTCTCCAAAGAATGATCTCTTGTAAAGAAAGTCAGACAAACTTGTCCCCTGTTATCAGACCTGTTTATTATTCTGCCTTGCACAACTGAGACCAGGTCATTGATCTTACACATCTGTAAAGCTGGAAGTCAGACCTGTCTTACGCTGGATTTTAGATTTATGTCTGTGCAGACTTATGGATAAGGCACAGTGGATAAATCAAAGTGCTCAGCAAGCAGCACAATCTCACTCTGCAGTGCTGGGCTTTGTGTCCTTACAGGCTCCAGGTTGGCTCCCACCTCTGTGTGCCTCTTACTTGTGATCCCTTACGGTTCAGCTGTTTCCTGTCTCATTTCAAGCTGAGCACTGTGACTGTGAGCCCAGGAGTGTGGCTGCATGGAGATGGAGCAGCACACAGACAGTTCCTTGGCCTGGTAATGAGTAATGTAGAGAAGGGAGGTGCTGACAGCAGTGAAACATCTGTAAGGAAGGAGAGCAGCACATCGGCAGGTGCTTTCAGTCAGATGGAGAGCAGAGTGCTGCCAGTGCCTCACCTCCTCATGGTGCTCTCCTTCCCAAGAAACGCTGGGACAGACCCAGCCCAGTGTCCCGCTGCCCTGCCAGGACCTTTCAGCTCAAGGCTGGAACTGCTGGCTGCTGGGACCTGCACACTGCCCACACTGAGGTGACCCCCACTATGTTTGATATGGGAAAGAGAGGAAGAAGCCCCTCCTCAGCCCCAGGGCAGAACTGCATGCTCTGACAGCAGGTGTAACCCTCAGAAACGTAATTTATTCAGGCTCTCTTTTCAACAAAGTCCATCCTGCAAAATGAAGCACAGGGGGGCCATGCAGCGTTCAAAGCCAGCATGCCATGCGCTCCCAAGGCAGCCCTGCCAAGTGGGTTTTATCTCCCCGTCTCACCACTGTGCCTGGCAGTGTGGCAGTGATGTGGAGCAGAGCTGGAGCTGCTGCAGAGGAAGGCAGCGAGCGCCGCTGCACCGCGCTGTGATTCAGGGCCGATGAATCACACGGCCACTTTTTTTCTCCATTGGATCTTCAGCTTTATTATTGTTACAGAAGGAAGAAAGGACGAGAGAAGGAGAGAAGAGTGAGCAGCAGCCTTATCGTCCTCTACAATCCTTTCCAATTTTTCTTTTTAAAGATTTAATTAAATTTTTGTACGCATCGCACTTGTGCTGAATAAACCCTTTGATAATCCTGGAGAGCAATTTGCATTAAAAGGAGGTGTGAGAAAATACGATGGAAGTGATGAGAGTGCTGGGGCTCAGCACGGCCTGTTCTCAGGTTCATTCTCAGGTTCAGATACACCCAGGGACAGCTGGCTTTGCAGCCCACCCCCCACGGCCCTTCTCTGCTACAGCTGGCAGCACAGAGCACCCCAAACTGTCACAGGGTATTTCTTCAGGTTCAAGCCCACTCAGAGGGCAGTGAGGCACTGGCACTGCTGCCCAGAGCTCCATCCCTGGAGGTGCCCAAGCCAGGTAGGATGGGGCCCTGCACAGCCTGAGCTGGTGGGGGCAGCCAGCCCACAGCAGGGATTGGAGCTCAGTGGTCTTTAAGCCTTCTGTCCTAAGCCATTCTGTGAGTCTATGACAGTATGTCTGTGAACTTTCCTGTCCTTTGGCTCCCAGCCCCATACATCGGGTTTTGGTTTGTAAGCTGTCCGTATGAGCAGGGCTGTGTGCGGGGCTCTCAGAGCTCGGAGTCCGTGAACAAACAGAGGGAACAGGGGACCGAGGTGCCGAGCAGAGCAGGAGGAGCTGGGGCTGGAGGGCAGCACACACTGCACAGGCTGCAGTACGTAGTTTGAGATTCGTGTTCTCCCTAAAACGGCCCAATTCAGGTCCAGGTGCGGGAGGCGGGCATAACTGGAGACGGGGCGCCTGTATCCCGCTTTTGCGCTCCGTCCGTTTCTGCAGTGGGACGGCTTGGATCCCCATGCGGAGCCGCGCGGTGCCCATCTCCTCCCGGACCGGGTCAAGGGGACGGATTCTCACCGCCAAATCTCTCCTAAGGTCAGAAGAGCCGGGCTGAACCCCTCAGTGAGAAACGCGCTCCCGCGTCACCGCGCTCCGCTTCCCTTCTGCGTTTTTCTCCCGCAAACGAACCACAGAAGTCGGCTTGAAAAGCCACGACGCGGCGAAACGAAGCATCTTAGCCGAGCTCGGGGGAGGATTTGCCCGACCGAAGCGCTCAGCCACCAACCGCCTCGGAGGATGCGCGTCGGGAGAGCGGCCGGGAGGTGCCGGGGGGCTGAGACCGCCCGGGCCGGGGGGTTGGCGGCTCCTAAGCGCGGGACGGCCGCAACTTTCCGCTGCGGGGCTGGGCTGGGCTGGGCGGGGCAGGGGCGGGCGTTGTCCGCGGAGCTGCGGGGCGGGGGCGGCTCTGTTCGGCGCTCCCGGGCAGGAGGTGTGCAGCCCTCCGTGCCGCTCCGCACCGCCGTGATGAGGACGCGAACCGCCCGCGGAGCTGCGGCGTGCGCCGGGCTCCGGCTCGGGGATGGTAAGCAGCGCGGAACCGGGAGCGGGCAGAGAGCGGCGGGGGGTGGCAGCCCGACCCCGTTCCGTCGGTGCGCTGTTGCCGTCCTCCGTTTTATTTACACCGTGTTTCTGTGGGAGCGCACCTGTGCAAAAGCACGTGTGTCCACTCGGTTGTGAATGGAAATCGTAGTAATCACGCATCGGGCGGCTGGGAGCGCTTTGGTACGGAGTTGGTGCGGAGAGAGCTGGAGGGGAAGGTCGGTGTGTGTGTGTGTGCGCAGATAGGCAGCCAGGTAGTGGGGAGATTCCTCCCGAGGTGTCTTACCGATATCTGCCGTCGCAGTGTGTGCCTGCTCGCTCTGAGCCGCTGCGTCTGTGCGAGAGGTGGGTGATACTGTGCAAACTGCGGGGGCTGCCAGCAGCGATCTACAGGAAGGAACCACGGTGTTCCAGCTGGGGCAGAACGCGAACCTGATGGTGCTGAGAAAGTTCCCAAGTAGAGAGGCTTGTTGAGCTTTGTAAGGATAAAAAACATCGCTGGAGTGATGCAGAAGGGAGGTGTTTTCCAGGAGATGAGCTATGGGAATTCAGGCAGCTCTGTGCTCTGACTGTCACATCCCAGGGTCTGTAGTGCAAAGCCTTCCCCATCACAGCCAGGCTGCCCAAGCTCTGTATCCACTCTGAGCCCATGCTGCTGAGGCCAAGTGTTGAGTTGTTGCTGAACCTGGCTCAGCCTCACTCCAAAGCCGAGGGTGTGAGCAGGAGCCCTCAGTGCGTTCAGGTACACGGACAGGATCTGGTGCTGTATCTGTGAAAGAAAACTAGTATCATTTCCTCAAACCCCTGACACATCCCTCCTAGTTCCAAAACCAACTTCCACTATGGAAACTTCATAGAAGGGTGAGTAATTAAAATACGGCACAGCTGTAGGCTTCTGTGGTTTGTGGGCAGCTTGGAGGGTGAGTGGTCCTGGTTTATGGACTGCTCCAGGCAGCTGTGGCAGTTGGCCTGGACAGTGCTTTGAAATATGTGACGTCATGATGACTTTGTTTGTCTTTAAAAACAAAATGCTTGAAATCCCTTTCAAAAAAGCATGGTTCTCTCTGCCCTGGGTTCAAGCAGTTGAATACTTTTGCATGGCAAGGTGCAGTTTTCCAGGAGCTGGCTCAGTCTGTGCTCAAGGTGGGGATGATGGGCAGCAGGGCTGTGGTTGGTCCCAGAGACCAGCAGCACCCGGCCCAGGAATGGCCTCGCTGTTTCCTTTTTGCTCCCCTAGCTTGACCTCAGCATTGCCATCAACTGTGCTGCAAAACAAACATGTGCATGAACCTGTGTGTTTGCTTCAATAATAAGTATTTACACACTAAGGTATGTTTATCCTATTTCTTTAAACAGTCCCTTGCTGGGGATGGACTTAAATAGTTTAATTTCCCCAGGACTTTGTAAACACTGATTTGAAAGCAGCAGGACCAGCGTGCTGCAGGGCTGAGCTCTTGTCTGCCTGGTGCAGGGCTGTGTGCCCACGAGGGCGTGGAGGTACCATGCAGCCCTGCACATCCAAGAGCCATGCCACACTACACGGAAATCTTTGTGGAGGGTTTGTGCTTGAAGACATATCTGTCATTGAGTGAAAGGTGGCAGTGCTATGAGCAGAGGATGGGGCAGGGTGATGGGCTCCATGCCTGGGTTGACTCACAGATGCAGGTGTCTGGCTGGTATAAGGGGAGGTGCTCTCAGTAATTCCACTGCGGAGCTGATGGAAACCCCTAGGAACCCTGCACTGTAGTGCACCCTTGTAGACACAGAGTTCTGCAGTGAAACCTCCTGGCCACCAATGTGCTGCACTGACAGAGCCCTGCGTGTTGGGGCACAGCCATCGCTGAGCTCCTGAGAGTTAAAGGAAGCCTTCCCTCATGGGAAGGCTATTAATTAATTATCCTCTTCTGACATTTCTGAGCCCATTAGCTGGAAAGGATGGAGGTGAGCACCAAATGACAGTCATTCTCTGCATGGGATCACTTCTCACTGTGCGCGAATAACTGTCCTGGGGTCCCCATCCTCTGTGTGTTGAGCTGTGGGCTGCTGCATGCCTGCAGAACAGGGATTGTCAGGGGCTGGATGGGGATGCACCATACGCTGGTTCTCCCAGCCAATGTGAAACCGAAAGCGGGGCTTTAGAGCAGCTGACTTTACTCTGATCATGTTGTGTAATTCCATTAGACTTATTGTTATTGTTATTAGAGCAAATAATCTAATTCAGCTCCTCCCCCCACCCCCTCAACCCCTATGTGTCCAGGCAGCTGCAGACATGTGGGTTGCTGCAAGCGAGGCATCAATGCACAGCAGAGAGCAGATTGCTCTGCAAGAGCACAGATTGGTCTTGGACAATTTTGTGAATTTAGGATGCAGTTGGGGGCCCAGCAGGAGGTGCTCTCCTCCCCAGAGACAGATGTGCTGATGGCAGTGTGGCAGTGGCTGCTGCTCCCTGTATCTTGCAGAGCGGCTCGTTATTTGGGTTTGCTTTGGTTTGAGATGGCGAAGATGAGTTCTGCCCTTATAATAGTTCCCATGGAGATGGGCTGGATGCTGTGCAGTAAGGGGTGAGGTGCAGTTGGGTCTCACCCAGCCCAGCAGCTCCAGTGTGTGGGTTATTCTGCAAATCACCCTTTCCCCCACCTGCCCATGCTGTCATAAGACTTCCAGCAAAGAAAAGGTGTTGGCCAGATAGCTGAGTAGCACAAATAGTTATGATGGCATGATTCCATGGTTCTTATCTATAGCATTTTTTTTTTTAAAACTCTGTGCCCTATACTAAAGACAACAGCACCATTACTTTCTTCTTTTAGAAGGAGTGCTGAGAAGAAAAAAGGACTTCTCCAAACCCTCCTTAGTGCTTAGCAGCAGAACCAGGTGTAGTCTGGCAGTGCCTGGGTCACAGGTGACCCCGTGTCACTGGTGTGTGCCACTGATAGCTCATCACCCGAGGAGCAGCTGCTCTCTGGAGGTGCTAATCCATGGAAAAGCAGGCTCCAAGTTGAAAACCTTGCCCACTTGACAGCCATATTACCACCAATTTCATCCATGCATTTTTAAAGTCAGAAAAGGACTTCTCTGATCATCTTATCTGTTGTCCTGTCTACAAACGAAAAGCACAAACAAAAGAAAAACTGTAGCTAAGGAAATGTCTTCATGATTAATTCCAAAATTTCCTATAGGGAATAGTGACAAAAAAAACAAACCAAAACAAAAAAACCAACACAGTTGTTTTCTTTAATAATAATAGAAGCAAAAAAAACCCAACCAACTGTTAAAATCCACACTTGACTGTGAGGGTTTCCAAACAGCCCATATAAAAGTGTCTGGGAGGATGGAATGAAAGGAAATGCTTCCAGTCAGTGGTTTGACCCCTGTTTGGGGCCAGCTCCAGCCTGTTCCTTGCTGTGTGATGAGACGTCAGGCTTGGTGCAGGGCCAGAGGGACGCAGGCGAGGAGAGAAGAGGTCTTGCTCAATGACACGGCTATTAGGATCAGTGGGTGCCTTGCGACATGAGGTCCCATTTACTGGATTGGAGAGAGATGAATAGGGCCCCACTGATGAACCATGCTGAGCCCTTCTCATTAGGCTAACTGATGCCTGCCTTGGTGTGCCCAGAAAGTGGCAGGGTCTGGGGGCATGGAGAACAGGCAAATCTTTGGGTTCTCCCAGGCAGGAGGAGTTGGTGCTCTGCATGTCAGCAGGCACACGTGTGCCACTGCCAAACAAAGTGCTGGAGAACTGCTGCTCGTTGAACCCCACCCAAGGTCAATACATCTGTGACAGGACATGGGGAAATGGTTTCAAACGAAAAGAGGGAGATTTAGATTGGACATAAGGAAGAAGATCTTTACAATAAGGGTAGTGAGGCACAGGTTGCCCAAAGGGGTGGTGGGTGCACCACCCGTGGAGATGGATGACCGAGGACAGGCTGGAGGGGCTCTGAGCACTGATGGAGCTGTGGCTGCTCCTGTTCATTGCAGAGGAGATGGAACAGATGGCATTTAAGGGTCCCTTTTAATTTCAACAGTACTATGGTTCTATGGTTCTTTGGCCTCAGAGCCATCTTTTACTGCAGCTCCTGACAGCTGTGGTGGTAGGAGGACCTGTGGGTAAAAGGCAGTGGGAGCAGCTGCAGGACAGCCTGCCTGAGCTCTGGGCTGTGCTGCCCAGAGATGGTGGATCTTCCATCCCTGGACATATTCAAGCAACTTCACTCAAACAAGTTCATTTATATAGCCTGCCTAATTCTTATTTTACACAGAATATCAAAGGGCTTATTTTAGCTGCTCCGTCTTTTTGTCAGTAAATATGGATTTCAAAAGCATATGTCAGATGAGAAGCCCCAGGCTGGTTTTCTACTGTTCCAGTGAGACGCAGAGCCTGAGTGTTACTGAGGGTTACACTGGGAAGTGTTGAAAGTGTGACTGAAAACTGGTGGCTCAAAGGAAGCAAGACCTCATCTTTTGTTTTGATTTGCTTTTTTAAGCTTGGGTTTTCTAAGAATTGATCTCAGAGTGGCTCGAGTTGCTCTAATGCACTGAAAAGAAACTGGTTGAAGCTGAATCTGAGCTGCTTTTTAAACCAAATTTGGTAAAAGTGTGCATACAGAAACCAAAAGGTCTTGAGAGACAGTCAGAGAAACACCTGTCTTTTTTGAACGGATTGCAGGATTTGCTCTGCAGCCAGTGTTTTGATGCAGGTAGCAGGTGACTCAGTATCTGGGTCTTCAGCTCTCTTCTTAGTTTTAGGAGATTTACAGTGAAAAACTTCATTCTGAGGAGGGACGATAGAGTCAGCACACTGTGGGACACTTGTGGGGTGCATGGGACTCTTCTGGGCTGGATGTGCTTGTGATGTGCAGAGCTGTGAGTCTGAGCTTCCCCTCTGCCCTCAGCCCAGCTGCTGCTGGTAGGAGGAGTTCACTTCCCTTCCTCTTCTCTGCCTACCTCCTCTCACTTAGGAGCTTTGTAGGTCAGGGGGAATTC